TTACGCCTAAAGCTGCTTTATTTTCAAGAGTAACTTTTTACAGTCAGTAAGATATGCTCTGAATTACTTCCACAAAACATCTTCGATCCGGTTCCTCAGCATGCTGCAGTGAGCAGAGACAATCTGAACCGTGAGGAGTATTCAGAAGTCTGAAATGCACAAATGAATGTGCTTCACATAGAAAGACGTGCAGCTTGCGTGTATCTGCTGTTTCACACATGACTGATCTGCTCAAAAACCAGCTCTGGTGGAAATGGCAATGAGCGATGCTGTAGAACTGTATTAACGTTCGTTTGTCACTCATAATGTACAGTTGCTGGTGCCGTGGTGGAGGAAGCATTACAAAATCTTTGACAGAGGCTTGCTAAAAGAAGCTAAATCATACAAGTAGATACAAAAAAGATTAATTTTTCATGTTTAGTAATCAGGGTGAGACATGCAAGATCAGCAACATTCATCCAGTAGTAAGAACATCCAGCAGCGTCTGTGAGGATAAGTATCATACAGATACTCAACCTAATGGTCTCACTAAAGGACCTGGTTAAAATTCATTGATTACCCAGCTCCTGGAAAAAAAACCCCTAGCTGCCAGTAAATTGAACAGATCATACAAGAGCTCGATATTCTGCTATAAAAAAATTTACAAGAATTATATCCATGGGAACAAGGGATATATAAAACAAAATAGCGAGTTTTAAATTGCACCAGCTTGCTGGTTCTGCATGACCCAATATGCTGGCTTGTGATGAGAGATTCTTTTTAATCACAGCGACTCAGGTGCGGATCCCATCTGTTGATGCCAATTACAGCAGATCACCAGAAGTCTTTATTAGCTGTAAATTCAGTCTACCACTCACGTTATACTTATCACATAAAGGAAAATGGATGTTAATTTTATAATTGCAATTGCACACTCTGAATGTATGACTCTTAAAATGGAAGTAAAACCTTTTTTTGATTATTAGTTGAGAAAGCCTCCATTATGTAAGTCTTTTAAAACATGTTTCTTCCCCTAATTCAAATTAGCAGCAGGATGCTCTGAATGCCAAGGTGGAAAGATACCAGTCTGTACCTCAAACTCTGGTTAGTATGGGAGACAGTAGTCCTTTAATAAACAGGTGATTATGCAACTCCCAGCTCTGTTAAAAGCAGATTGGTAGTCTATTACAAACTGATTAAGTTTGCCACTTTTTCACTTCAAACAATTATATTTGCTCATTAACACTTGATATGTTGAATGCAGCTTAAGAAGAACATAGGAAAATTAAATATCAATCATTCTAACTCCTCAGAGATTTAGAACTGACTCACGTAATGATATTTTCCTTCAAAGAACAATATGCATGTGCACCTGTGAAAGTGGCGGTGGAGGAGAAAAGGGAGAATGGGAGAGGTTATTTAAAGACTGATGTAAAGTAGACATCAAGGGATTAAACATGCAGCTTAACTGTTGTGCTGCACTGACGTGTTTATATATATCTATATGAAAGCGTGTTCTAAAACAGAGCATGAACATCACTGGCTATACTGCAAGCCATGGCTCATGACACGTTTACTAGTAAGGAAGACATGCAGAGGCATAGTCTGTCTGACATGTTGAACAAATGTCTTTCCTTTCATAGATAATATAGAGCCTTAAAGGAGTTTGAGAGATTATTCCCACCTTACCATACCTTACCACCTTTGCAAAAGACAGAGGCTGCATCGCACTGGCCGTGATACTGTTGTGCAGAGGCTTTGTCAGGAAGCGGGGATACTGGCGGATAGCGGTAACTAGCCTTCACACAGCTGCGTCTATCAGGACATTGCAGAGAACTATAAAAAGCAGATGAGTATTTTTAACCCTGTTCTGCAGATGGGAAAGCTGAGAAAGAGGAAGGAAAAGAAACTTTCTCGTGATTCTTCATCAGGCCAGGAACAGAGCCAGAGAGAATACATAAACCTTTTGAGATCAGTGCTCTTCATTCCTCCAAAATGGAGATACAAATCTGCTTCCTAACTGGCCTTAAAAAATAAGATGCTAAAGATGTCAACCACCAAAAAACTCACAGCCAGATTATTTTGAATTTGCTGTAAATTGTATGCCCATTTTTAGATGAATTTTATATTCTTTAGAGAGTCCGTTTCTCACTCGTTGCACCGTGGGAGGGGTTAGGATCCCTGAGTGCACTTAGCTGCACCTACATGGAAGAAACTGATGGGACCTGCCCCAAAGAATGACAGCTGAAACAGCCATATATCTTTTACATCTTGGAAGATGACTTGTTTCTACTCCTCTCATTCATCTCCTTGACTAGGTACTTCTCGACACCACATCAAGAAAAAAGTGTGGCAAAGAAACTGTTGGGACTTGCTGGTGGATGTGGTACATAGACCTTCGGTACATTATTCACACATTATTACATGCTCGGCTTTAAGAACTGAAAGTACAAGAACCTCCAGCTTGGTATTTGCTATTCAAGTATTACGATGAGTGATAAAGCTCTGCTTAAACTCGCTTCAGATAGGGATCTCGTATGTCTGTCAGAAAACTGTCAGGGAGGTCTTCTGCTGAACATCCTGGTGAAAACAGCTATATTAAAAACTGCAAGTAAAATGGCCACTGTGTATCTTTTTATTTTAGGATTCAATTCTAGGTGAAAACCAACAGCATCATTAGCTAAAGCTTAAAAGGAACAATCCATTTCTTCTTAGAAAAGGAGGGTGTAAAAGCCCAAAGCAAATGCTGCATTTGTGTCCAAGTTTCCCTGTCTGGCTCATCTGTAGAAAGACTGTGGACTGAGGAACGTGGTGGGTGGGTGGCAGAAGTGGAAGAAGCAGCATGTTTAAATGCCTCATATTCTAAGATCACAAATTCTAATTCTAGTCTAAAAGTGTGACAGTAGCGAGGCAGTTCTAGAAATAAGAACTGTGTCCTGTCCCACTGTCATCTGACGCAAAGTAGCACCTCATCTGGGACTGTCGAGAGCTGAAGTACAGACAGGCAGAGATATGAAGCCTCCCACTGGTAGAAGTAGGGACTGGAGGCTGCAGACTTTGGGTTACCTATGGGACAGCTGAAATCACAGTTAGAGCTTTTATTTGACATGGCCAACATCTTCTCTGCTTTGATAAAAATCATTAAAAAGTATATAGGACATCTAAATCCAACACATGGTAAGATTATTCTGAGTATATTATACTCAGTACTCCAGCTGGCTCTCTTTGGGCATGTGTTGAAATAACGTGCGTGGGTGTAGCTCAGCTTCTTCAGATCCACAGGCAAATGCAGGAAGCTCTGTCACAGAATACCTGTTACAGAGAAGATTCCCTCCAAGTGGAGGAACAATCAAATTTTTGCATAGAAACATAGAATCATTTTGTTGGAAAAGACCTTTAAGATCATCAAGTCCAACTGTACCTGCCCACCACTAAACCATGTCCTTAAGCATCTCATCTACCCATCTTTTAAATACCTCCAGGGACAGTGACTCGACCACTTCCCTGGGTAGCCCATTCCAGTGCCCGATAACCCTTTTGGTGAAGACATTTTTCCTAATATCTAATCTAAAGCTCCCCTGGTGCAACTTGAGGTCATTTCCTATCATCCTATCACTTGTTACTTGGGAGAAGAGACCAACACCCACCTCACTACAGCCTCCTTTCATGCAGTTGTAGAGAACGATAAGGTGTCCCCTCAGCCTCCTCTCCTCCAGGCTAAACAACCCCAGTTCCCTCAGCTGCTCCTCACAGGACTTGTGCTCCAGACCCCTCACCAGCTTTGTTGCCCTTCTCTGGACATGCTCCAGCACCTCAATGTCCTTCTTGAACTGAGGGGCCGAAACCAGAACACACTAGTTGAGGTACGGCCTCACCAATGCCTAGTACAGGAGAAGGATGACTTCCCTGATCCTGCTGGCCACAGTTTCTTACACAGGCCAGGCTGCTGTTGGCCCTCTTGGCCACCTGGGCACACTGCTGGCTCATATTCAGCCAGCTGTTGACGAGCGCCCCCAGATCCCTCTCTGCCAAGTAGCTTTCCAGTTACCCTTCCGCAAGCCTGTAGTGTTGCATGGGGTCATTGTGACTGAAGTGCAGGACCCGGTACTTGGCCTTGTTGAACTTCATACAATTGCCTGCAGCCCATTGATCCAGATCCCTCTGTAGAGCCTTCCTACCCTCACACACATCAACACTTCCCCCCAGCTTAGTGTCATTGGCAAACTTGCTGAGGGTGCACCCCTTGTCCAGGTCATTGATAAAGATGTTAAGCAGAACTGGCCCCAACACTGAGACATGTATGCTACCCAAGCATTGGCAGGAGATTGGCATATTGTTCAATATTATGATTAAGCAGCCACAGAAGACTCGCCTTTCCCACCTGTTACAGCACTGAACTTGACCAAAAATAAATATGAACTGCATCAGAATGGGCAAAATATGTCTTTGAAGACAAGTACAAACTGAAAATTAATTTTTGTGTTGACAAAGGTATAGGTTTTTGTTCACAAGCAAGCTTTTAAATGATGGCTTGTAAAATTGTCTCTCTAGATCCCTCTGAAGAATCCCCCTGCAAGCATAATATGTCTTTGGGTCCTCTACTAAAACTTGCTAACTGAAGTGTTTTGTGTTTTAAGGACCTGAAACCTAGTTATCATCGAACAATTCAAAGAACATTCGTTTTCATGACAACTGTTGTCTCTCTGAAAAGTTTACCAAATATTTATACCATGACATTTCTTTCTTCATGAGTAACAACATGTTGAGTAAATTCTGCCAAAAAGCATGTATTTTGCTTTTCTATTCAAAACCTGTTTGAGCACAAAGGTAAAGGACTGTTTATTTGACATACCTGAAAATTAGATAATAGTTCAGTTTGCTTGCTTCTACCTAAGTGACTGAGCCTACCCCGTCCTGGATATTGACCGTGGCAAGAATGCATGTTAGAGAGTATAAACTGTAATCCAAGTACTGAAACTTCTTAGCCTCATATAACCAAAAAGAAGGGGTGATAAACTTACCTTGTGTAGCAATGTAGTGATTTGGTCTATGATAACCCTAAAATAAATTGAAAAAAAAAAATAAGCAATATACACCTCAGCTATGTTGCTGTGAGTGAAACTTCATTTACAGTAGTATTCAGTAAAGATCATAGTAGTATTCAGTAAAGATAGATCACAGTAATACTCAGTAAAGATCACAACAATACAGATAATGTGTTAGATGCAAAAGTTCTCTCCAGTGGGGGAAGGGCAAGGGACAAGGGGAACACGAAGCAAATGGGTTTTCTGCAAGATACTTAAGTTGCAGCCTTGTACATTAGGGGACAGAAGTAATATGTTCTTTTAGTCCCTTGTTGGCTCTGCTGAAAATGAACAGCTTGAAATCCTCTCTAGCACTTGCAGCTAATGGCATCAGATGCTCATAGAGGCTGAGCTATACCTCCAAGCTATTGCTATTGAGTGCAAAGCCTGTCCCTTTTTTAACAGCTAAAGCATTCTAGATTTGCATTCAGCCTGGGGAAGGGTGGGGGGATGTTCACTCTGTCCACTGTGATTTGTTTATGTTTTATTTCTGAACAGCAAAAGGGAGAGTAAATTCTTTGACTAAGTGGTTTGGTATGAATACTCTTGTTCACATCTAAATAGGAAGAACATAAAACAATTCTATGTTTCTCTGATGACAAGAGCAACTTACTTAATCACAAGCTGGCCATGCAATAAAGACTAATACTATATGGATTCTTTGCAACATTGAGTATGTTGCCTAATGAGAACAATACCATTCTTATAGTATTTGAGCTTCTGATGTGATGGGAGCATCACCAAAGGCTTAGATCATGCACTAGTACGTTGATAAATTCAGTTATACCAGTGTTAATCTTTTAATAACCATTATGACGTGTTGTCAGTCATCAACAGGAAGAATTTAAAACTGTAGCTTGCATGCCATTGCAATTTCTTTGTAAAAGAGCAAGGGGCATTGTGGTGATCCAAGGTGGGAAAGATTCAAAACAACTGAAGATACCTTGATTACAGAAAGAATAACGTGAATTACAGAATTGATTCCTTTTCATGCCATTGAAGCAAAATTTAGAAGTCTACGAACAGAGAAGTCATTCAGATAGCTACAGAGTTGATTTTTTTCTGCTATGTGTTATCTAATATCCCTAGTGTCTGGTATCAAACAATTCTGTTTCCCAGTGAAAAAACACATGGGAAAAAATACAGCATAACCATTGCCCCTCTTCTCTTTTATCCAAGAAAATTTTGTAGTGTTTGTGATGGTGCCATTCCCTTATTAACATGTTTATTCTGACAACACAACAACTATACTAATAACCGCATGCAAGAGTAAAATTGCAGCTGCTTTTATATTAGAAAAACAAGCTTTTCTAATGGAAACCTGACTAGCAAGATTATAAACAAAAAATGCTGTGCTTTGTAGACACCTTTGGAAGATGTCTGCAGTCTCCCAGGCTTTGCAATGAAGCCATCTGCTGAGGATGAGGGAGGGAATTTTTTGGTTCTGACCCACTCTTTCTTTTAGGGCCACATTCTCTCCATCCTCTTGTACTTCCATAAGCAAAAAAGGATGCTATGCAGCTATCTTATCAGCATTTTAAATGAGACTGTATGCTCCAAACCCTTATTCCTGACATCTTTTAATATTTTAGAGTCAGATCAAAATCTGACATGAGAACACACTAGTAGTCTAAAATGAGAACAGTCCTGAATGTTGGAAACAGCGTTAAAAGTGAATTCAAATCTAGGTCCCCAATGTGAACTCTCTCTTTCCTTTCATGATAGATTACCCCCTTCAGAGTTTACTGAGATGTCTAACTAAATATATTTCCATATGTGCCTTTACCTATTGGTGACTGTGCTATTCTTTCAAACAGCAAGCAACTGAGCAGAAATCTGAGCTTAACTTAATGGTTCCTGAACATGCTAATAAACATTAAAAGGAGATGTCTTCAGAAAGTTACAACTTCAGACTTCAGATTGTTACAACTGAAGTACCTACTTTTCTTGTATAGCTCAAATTCCTCCATACTCTGAGAAAAACATCTGTTACATTTTTGTTTCATACCGGTGATTAAATTTGAACTGTAAACTATGACACCATTTTTCAAAGATGACACTACTGAACAAGAAATCTTTAGCAGACACAGTTTCCCATGAAGCAACACCTGTTTTGCTTAGCCTAACATCTAGGACCCCAAGTAAACAATAAAATTATTATCTTTGCTATCCATAGATTTCTGCCTTTAGATAGTATTGACTTTCTAATGATTTTCAATTCTACTTTTGAATTCATTTTTTCAACCAAAACCACCTTGTCTCTTAAAGAATTTATTCTAATGTAAAACATTAAGTTAACATGATGCAGAATGAACAAAGAAGCCACCTTCAATAATTAAACAGCCTACATATTTAATGAAATGTCTTGCTTGCATTAGAACTACTGGTTAACAGCTGCAGAATATACTTTGAAGGCGACTTAAAAGTGCAGAGATGACAAGAGATTGCAAATCTCTGCATTAGGCATTACAGAGTTTTGTCACATTAATATGCAAACAGCTTTCTTTTAAATGTGGAATGATGCCAAGCTGTTGACAGAAAGTGAAAATAACATTTTGTTAGCCCATATAAGCACCAGCAGGCAAAGTAGCCATACAGTGTTGCTGGCAAGGTTTCAGTCTAGTGGCAGTTGGAGGAAATGACTCTTCATTTGCTTATTGACAAAAGCTTTGAGGCTTTTTTTTCCCTTTAGTGTACACCTAGCTTCCAGAGATAGTACTTTCCAACAATGTTTAGCAGCTGATACTAGCTGTGATACCTATTACAAATTATGAATAACGTGAGAATAATAAGAGCTTCCTCTTTGACTGAACACGTTAAGTTTGTTGACTACATCAGCATACGCACATCAATATAATTTCCATTGATGTAATCAGAACTTGTTTCTCCTTCAATGGGCTGCAGTCTCACTCGAGAATGATCATCTGAAATGGAAACAATGGAGAGAAAAAACAGTGAAGACACATTCAGTAACAATGCCTTCATCATAATACTACTTTAAAGCCAAACTCAAACCTCAGCATTTGCAAGTTCATGCTTGTTTTGCTGTCCAGGAAAACATTGTATCTACATTTAATCCTCATTTCAGTCATTCACAAGGCTTTCCAAATCCCCTCTGATTTTCGGTCTGAATGTCTTAAATATTTCTAATGTGAAATTCATTGCAATTATGCTTTTTGTCTTGACACGCCCCCTTTTGTCAATAAAATAAATAACATTAAGTTGACAAAGGTTTAGACATTTGGAAATGTTTCTGCCACTACTCAGGCTGAAGTCATTGTACAAGACATGCTGCCACATCACAGTTTCTGAAGGAAACTCATTATGTTTTCAGTAAGGGAGAAAGCAAAATAATGACAAAGCCCAAGCAGTCAGATAATGGCTTTGTCACTGAATTTTGCTCCACTGTGGCCATTTATATCTATCCAGGAATGTGCAAACACTTCCAACTCTGTTTTCCAAATTCCAATCCAAAACACCATGGCATGAATTCATTTCTTGTCAGCTGCCTCATTTTCTTTATGATACCACAGCGGTGATTAAGAAGTGCTACAGGCTAGATGCCCCCGTCCCCCCAAAGAATCTCTGTATGCTGGCAGGGCTGCTTCTTCTTTGAGACTTCATATGCTCCTCTTGATTCTCTTGGTTCAAAAGCAACCAAACACAATGGCTTTTTCCAGAACGCTGCATAAGCTGTTGATAAAACAATTTGAGGGTATGATCTCAAGGATGGAGAGATGGTAAATAGCCACTTTACTGCTGCTTTGCTTACAAGTTACTTCTGCTAATTAGATTATGAATGCTGCTTGCTAGCTGAGCTGATATTATTTGCAGCTGACAACAGACCTTCATGACTGTCATTATTTTGTTTTAAATGTAAATAAGCATTAGAGCACCTGAAACTTGCTACCCAGGTTCTGAATAGCTATTTTTTTCAGCTTTAAAAATCCTGAAAGGTAACGAATGAAAGAACATGAAGTGGCTTAAAACCACAACTTTGTAAGTAGCATAATATTGGCCCACATTATGGGGAAGAAAGGAGAGGGCAAGTGGTTCTTAAAATAATATTGTTTTAGAATTACAAGTCAAGAGATTTTCAAATGGCTGAGTAGGAAAGGAAGAGGCAAATTCTTTATTTCCCTCAACCTCTTTTATGCTCCAAGTCTCAGGGACTAAAGATCTCAGGGCCTCATTTGCTTCCCTGGGATTCCCTTGGGAGAGAGAAAGGGCACAGTTTTAACCCAAATGTAGTAAATCAGAATGAATTAAAATTCCAGCTCTAGGTTCCACACAGCTTTTATTTTGCTATTTTCTTGCGATTATTTCACTCAACAATCTTCAAGAATGAGTTTTTCCAAATGTGCTGGAATATTCAATTATATTCATCAGGTCAGTCTTTTCAGCCTCTTTATTCACTTTTCCAAGACTAAAAATGTATAGAGATGTGACTCTCCATAACATAACCCATGCTGGTCTGACCCTACCAAGCTACGCTCATCCAAGTGCTGTGCTATTCTCTGCTTAATTAAGCTGTTTATCAGTTTCTTCAGAACAGAGGTTCGGCTCACAGGCCCGTAATTCTAAAAATCCATCTTACTTAAGAAAGATACTACGTTAGGAACTTTCTAAGCTCCAGACATGGCTGTTGCTTTTACAGTTTTGGGACCTGATCCAACTTCTGCTGAAGTCAGCAGACTCCAGAAGTCAGGCTTGCCTGGACTCATGGTACGCCTTCACCCACATTTTCATTATTTTGTGCATCATTGCCTTAAAAGCATTCTCACCAGCATAACTCAGGTTAGTAAAGATCTCCACTTTTATACTTCTTTAATTACTTAGGACATGGTTCAGTTGCTAAGGACAAGCATCTCATGCCACTTTATATACCCCAGGATATACTGCCTAGCCTGCAGCTGCTGCTATGGAATAACACAAGTCTCCCATGAGTACTGTGTCACATTTGTTGGTCCTGCACAGATGTCCTAGGTCACCTGAAATGGCACTGCATGTCTATGTTTAGGCAACCAAATCCCATCTTTGATGACTTGCACACCAATGAGTTCCATATTGGGCAAAACCAGCTTAAATTTCCCACAAAGGAACACCTTAAAATGTAACTTCCTGGGTTTTTTTTAGACTGATTTATACAACTGAATAATAGGCAGTGGTATCTTTTCTTTACCTTTCCTGTTATTTTGTTATTTTATTTACTCCATTCCTTCCTTGCAATAATTCTTGCTTCAGATTGGGCAAAACTAAATAAGTAACTTCATACTTGTGTCTTCATATCATCTTTCTACCCTTTTTTTCTTCTCACATGCATCCTTTCTAGTACTGCATTCTCAGCTAAGTGTCTGGAAATTCTGGAGGTAATGGACTGTTCAATACCCATTTATTTGCAGTGGAGCTGGAGTGACTCCCTTTTTTTATTGCTTTGAAAATTCTAGTTAACTCCTTACTGCATGGCAACACTTCTTAATTTGAAAAAATTCTTTAGTCAACAAACAGAAGGGATACTGTGCCTAAGCCTGTGCTTACGTCAAGTAGACCTAAACCTAAGGGGTACACAAGCCATACATTCTTCCAACATGTATGCTGATTCTTAAATAGGCTCTAGGTTAACTGTCTAGATTTTTAGGGCAATTTTTTCCTTTCTCCTTCAGCTGCTCTTGACAATTATTGTAGCTTTTAAATACTCTCTTTTCCAGCTCATTGTTATTTTGATACCCTTCTATTAGGAGATCAAACTTAACTTTGCACTGATTTCTTAGGCTTTCAAAATTAGTTATGTTAGAATCCATTTGTCTTTGTAGAAAATGGTAATAGATAATGAATATAAGCATTTTATTCTTGCTCCCCTCATGTCACCTACAACATGTATATGCCAGCCTGCAGACTGTGATCTCTAACAAGCCCCTTGAGTAGCTGGTTGATTAGCACGTCTAGCCAATGACCCTTTCTTGGGACGTGCCTTGCTGATCCTTTGCAAATTAAGCCTTTTATAAATGTCTCACCTGAAATCTTTAGCTGCTTTTAAAAGCTGTGATCAATATTTTTTTCTCATTTAGTCAATATTGAGTTAGGTAAAAACAAATACAGAACCCCTCCCATTCCAAAACTACCTCAAGATCTCTCCCGAGGAAAACCCAATAGATTTTACCAAAATCCATACATGACCCTACACAATTACGGGGGAAAGAGAATTCTTCTTAGGTTAAAAAAAAGATTCATTTAGGAGTTTCATGCCAGTTTTAGTTCCCAAAGCCTTTTGCATGTAAAGAAGGAGCATGTTTTCTGTAGGTGAGTGGACTGTGATCATGATTCAGCTTTTTGATACAGTGGCTCACAAGTTGTAGCCACTTTCATACAATGGGTAGGGCATGCCTGTAGCCAATTAAACGCATCACTTGGGTAATGTAAAGCATATTGCCATTTTGACAAGCTCCTGCAATACTGGCCACTTGGTGCTATTGTTTTAGTTCCCTCAGAGAACAATAATGACCACAAGCAATAATGTAACAGTAGTATCTTGGGGAAAATTTAAACAAAGAGGATAAATGGATGGAAAAAACCTTATATTAAATGCTTCACAGAAAAAAAAAAAATTCATTATAATCTTGTACCCATAGTCAGTGGCATCTGAACCACCATATTTTTAAGTCTTTAAACATAGCATAAAAGGGCAATTTAGTAAAATGTTTTTCATCTAAAGAAAATACTTTATACAACTATCTGGGACAAATTTTCAAAAGTGGGCTGCTAAAATTGTACTCTCAGACTAGCGATCATTTATCCAGCAGAGAACCACACAAAATAAACAGTTAACTACCCCATTTGCATACATGTATTTAATAAACGACAAACTGTGGGCCGTTTCAGCCGCTCTTTTAAGATACTGCCTTTTAACTCTAATGGATTTTAATTTTAACTTGTGTTATCTGTGTTTTCACAGCCACATAAATAGGAAGTGTTATCGATAACAACTCCATCCAACT